GACCACTGACCACAACTGTTTCAAAAAGAAAGTACATTTGTATTAAAACTAATAAATTTTTCAAGTAAAGGTAGTACTTCACAATTCAACCTCCCACAATTCAGCAGTGCAATTTGCAGGGAGCTTAGTGTCTTGCAATTTGACCTGCTTCAGTCACTTTTCTTGTGTTTTTATGCTGATCTTACTTAATTTTATACACAGTGTCTCACAATTCAACAGTTTTGTAATTTGACCTGCCTATATTGTCCAATAACAGATTACAGTTGAATTGTGGGGTATCAGATGCATCATGTATCCTTGAGTATAAGGCATGCACCCAGATTTTCCAGCCATAATTTTGATAAAATCATTACCCTGATACAACGTGTGAGACATTGACGCGCCATTTCTACAGTGACTGATGAACTATATTATGTATTCCAAAAACGAGAGACCCCTGAATTTGGATTTGAATTTCCAATTTCGCAGAGCCTATAATGATAAGCACCCAGATTTTCGAAATTGTCGGAAGTTGTGAAGGTTATTCAATTCCTTAAATTTTTGAAATATGAATTTTTCGACAGTCGAAAATTCACTGCATAGAAATATTCAAAAATCTGTCATTGAATCTTTTTACGTTCGCAATTACTGATGCTTCCGAATATTTGAAATTAAACAAAAGTCTGTATGGTAATTCGAAGAGGAATAACAATTATTCATACGTTATTATTTTTCTTTTTTCTCTTTGATATTGCCCATCAAATTCACAAGGACGCAATTGATTCATTTTTCAAACTTCTGTAATCTTCTTACAAGAACCAACCGCACAAAATGTTCTCAGTCCTCATTTTGGCTGTCAATTCTTCAAAATTTTCAAAAATTAGCCTCTTAACGAACCTTCGAGTATAACTACATTCTTTAAGTCAGACAAAATATCTCTCTCTATATATAGAAAACAAGGATTAATGTGAAAAAACATGCGAATAAATTTCAATTGAACATCAATCACGCGTTCAGAATCACGTGTCATAATTATCGCTGATCGATTATCCAAAAAAAACGCGGTATTCACTCCAAATTGGCTCTTGTATAATAAAAAGAAATATATACAAAACAATACTTGCATTTTTCTGCGAAGGTTTCATGGTATTTTTCAACTTTGTATCGTCACAGGCGTTCGGCACTTTCCAACGGCGCTTGTCTTGATATTCAAAATGAGCTTCAAGTGTGGAACTGCTGAAGGCCGTGAAGAATCAAGTTTGACTGGGGTATCAGTAAAAGTGTGAGCTATTTATACAACGACGCAATTGAGGAACAGGAAGAAATTCCGTTCCGAGAATGTGAGGTCGAACGTCGTCGAGTGTCGACGGATAACATAATTCATAGCCAAACTGTCGTTGTCGTAAAAAAAAACGTACAAGGCTCCTTCCGACTGATTTTCCCAAGAAATAAATTCGTGAAGAAAAGAACACCCATTCTCCTTTGACAAACAGCAAAAAAATCCTGACAAGCATCTAACAAAAAAAAAAGACATTTTTTTTCTGCGTAATTCCAAATATTCGTTTCGTTTCCGTCGCTTAAAACAAACAAAAATACTGAGTTACTGAATTTATAAATTACTCTGAAACCTCAGAATGCGGACATAATTGGTGCTTGAATTGTGTCCCCATGTTGAAACATCCACATGTCAGAACTTCTTATCCAACTCCCATAGACTTCAATGGTAATAATTTAATTGGTTCTCCAGTTTATCAAAAATTAGGGATAAATCCCCAAATATCAAATAAAATGTGTTTCTCATCCAAAGACACTGAAAAAAACGCTTCAGAATAGAGAAAATCACAAAGATTATGATCTTCTGACATCAACACGACTCAAAAAAAAGAAACAAAAAGTATAATTATTGCTATCCTGTATATACACAGATGATCAAGAATGCTGAAAATAAGCAAAAAATTAACTTGTTTTTTGATGATAAAGCTAAATGAATGTATAACGAAATTAATTTTTAATCTCTGTGAATATAAATAGCAAAATTTGTTCAAGAGATATTCGACTTTAATTTTCCACTTTTCTATGGGAATGCTAGAAAAGTGTCCGTATGTTGAGGAACTGTCTGGATGTCATGGCCCGATTTTTTAAAAGTTTCAAATGTCCCCATCAAGTTGAATCGTCCGCATTTTGGGGTCTCACTTAACTTCATTCATTTGCTGCCGCGGCATGATTCAATCAAAACATTTGTAAAACGGAATCTTTATCGCAATTCAAACTTTCTTTGAACACAACAAGCATTTTCACCACAAAAAAATAATTTCAAAGTCCTTGGAAACGGNATAATTAGGCAATTTGATGCTACGAGATGGTTTAAAAGAAGGTAAAACTTCGAGCAATTTGCGGCAAAATAAGCCGAAAAACATTTTATGAATGCAGAATTTTCTGGAATTTTTACATCAGAAAACGTGTTTTTCGGACGACAACTCGTCAACAGGTTGTGATTATGCAATAGGAATAAAACTTGAGAAACGATGGTGAAAATTCACGAATCGAACATCAACTTCAGCTTGACGATCCATCAATTGTTTCTGCATAAATGCCTTATTGTACTTCAGTCGCAAAAATCTGACGAAATTTCTGTCAATAAAAATCAAAAGTGCACTTATATATACGAGGTATTTGCGATTATACTCAAACAAAGTATTTTAATTTTGGCATCATTGAACCTCGACAAAAATCCGCCATCATCAATTTTAATGGATTTCAGAAAATTAAAATCCTAAAATTAAAAAAAATTATTCAAACACAAACAAATAATCTCGAACTATCGAACCGTATTCTGATTATTTCCAACAACAAAAAACGCACCTGTGATCACAACACCTGGATTGTCCCATCAAACCAGGCCTTTCTTGAGCAGCAATTCCATCAGCATTCAAGACAAAATTTCCGGTTTCCTCATTTCTTTCTCTTGCCCGAGGCGTACTTGAAACAATCCCAGCAAGTACTCCAATAAGTACCAGCAATGACAAACAGCATGACCAATTCTAACAAAATATCACGCATAAAAAATCATGCATCACTCTCACAACCCATTATTCTTCAATTATCTATAAACACTCACCATCACTTCAAATAATCAAAGTGCGTTTCTGAAAGCAGGTCAAGTCTATATAACCAGTTTCGTCTTCAAAAATCAACTGGAAAAGATCAATTGTCTTTGCTGGTTCTTATATATACCCTTAATCTTCTACGCCCCTCCCAAAAATTATAAGCTCAGAAGGTTCTGGAAAACGATTCTGGTACACAAAAGAAGAAGAAGAGAAGAAAATACGCATTCACGCAGGACACGGTGAAGTGTTTTCGAGAAAAATAACCTGAGAAAAAAGTGGAAGGACCTTCGATATTCCTTCTGACGTCGTTGGAGGCGTCATGTTTTATTCTAATTTATTTTGGGCGCGTCTCATTGACATTCCCATAGTGATTTGTATGAAAGAGTTATGGAAAACAGTTGAATTTTGCATCAACGGTTTATCAAAAATGGGTCATAAGTCTAAGAATTGAGTGTTTTTTTATAAATCAAAGGGGTTAAAGAGAGACCGATGAAACGACAACAGTTTTTGGAAGGACTGAAAATGGAGATTTTTTATAAATCACTAATGAAACGTCATTTGATGCATTTTAATGATGAAACTTTTTTTGCATCTTAATTATAGATTGTGACTAAAACCTCCAATAGATTGTGTATCAAAGACATCATGAGCAAGTTGAAAAACATCAAAATAAAGCCATTGGATGAAGGTATATTTGATTTGATAAATATTACAGTGAGAGTGTCACATGCAGACACCTTGACATGCTGTGGACAATTTGACTTAGGGATATTCATTTTTAAATAAAAAGGCATAAAAAAGGCCTGACACATGGGCACTGAATCAACATGAGGGCATTGCATGATAAAATGGCCAATAAATTTCAGGAAAATTGACTTTTATTAGGCTTAATTGCAAGAAAAAAATATTGCCAACCATAAGAACTATGCAAGAAATATTATTTTTTATTTTACCAGAATTGTTCCATCCATTGAGCTAATTTTAAAAAATTACCTACAGCCAGAGGGACTTCCTTATCTCTTTGTGACTTGAATGTTATTTTTACAGATGCCAGAATTTCAATGAAGTGGACAAAGGTACAATATTCAATGCTCCAAATGATCTTATCAAGTTGAAAATATATTCACTGAATCAAATTCAAGTGGCAAACAATTTTCTCTCATGGAATTTTGAAGAATATTTCTTCCATGAAACACCAATTAAAAATGTATAATGTAAGTCTATGGGAAAACAAGCCTCAACTTATATAGGGACACTCTTGACAATGCACCAATTATCTCCGCATCTGAGGCTCTCACTGTATGGTTCAATTTTATGGTTCAAACAATGCTAGAGTAAATTTCCAATCACTGATGATCAGCAAGTGAATTTAGAATTTTTTTTATCAAAATGGTGTCAAAATTCATAAATTGAGGATTTTTCAGAAATTCAAGGGATTGAATGTAAGAGACCAATAAAATGAAAACCAATTTTAGAAGGAATAGAAAATAGAGATTTTTGAAAAATCAGATATGAAGCTTCATTTGATCCTTGAATGATAAAAATTGTGTTTGCATGTTGTAGATTCCAACTAAACCCTGCAATCAATCGTGCATGACAGTAAAGTGCTGGTCATCATTAGCTGAAAAACATCAAAATAAATCCTTTGGAAGATGCTGTATGATCAATTCCCCGAATTTTATTCGCAATCCTTTTTCCAAACGCTTGAAAAAAGAAAAATCCGATCCCGAATCTATACGGATGAATTCAGAAATACCTGGAAAAGTTGTATTTATGTATCCCATCCTTTTTCTATAGCACAAATCTTCCAAATACAGTATAAAACATGAATAAAACCTTATCTGCGCATTATTAATTTGAACTTGACCCAAAATCATGATTTAAATTATTTAAAATGAGCTGTTCAAACGCGTTGTGTTTGTTTTTGAAGGTTATCTCCAAATATTCAAGTAGATGGCTTCAAAAAAAATACGTTCTCTTTTCAATATATTCCAACCCGATTTTTTTAAAGATGACAGAGTATAGTGTTAAACTGAATTTTGGTTGGCATCCTACTATTCTGAACTGTACAAACATTTTTGTTGAACACAGCGCCATCTATACTGAATTAATTTGTTCATCATTGTCAGCGTTTTTTTTTTCAGATCAGCGATAATCTGTCTCTCTTGGACACATGAGCATCTCCTTTCTAGTGTTTTACTCACACGTTCGTAACATCACCAAGAAAACAAAAATCAGACAAACGTTTGATTATTCTTTTTGTCGTAATGAGCTAAAAACCACGCTGTCATCCATTCATTGCTGTCTTGAACGTGGCTTGACTGTGTAACAGCATCATTATTGAGTGTTGGTGATAGCATAACTTCAGAAGATGGTAAAATCCGCTTGTAGTGGTTAGTGACAGTGAACTCACAGTGGAATCTTGAGGCATGAAGTTTTTGAGTTGGACTCAAGCATTGGTAGCAAGTGCTTTTGCATTTCACTCTGCTGCACCATTCTGGAAAATTAGTATACAGAATATACAGTTGAGTCCAAATATTCAGAAGATAAATCAAGAGATTTATCTCGTCAGCTCAGTATTATTTTAAATGCTGATCGGTTATGCTTTATTCTATTATTCGGATTTTTATCCCAGCTGACACGTTAAATTTCAAACCCCATATCCTATTTTGAAATAATTGCCCATCCATCGCCATGACGATTTGGTTCTGAAATGAGCTGCATATTGCAATAGGATTGATCTAATCCTCGATGGCATACAAAAGTTCACTCAAAACTGCTCGTTGATCTAGAACTGCATAAAAGTTCGTTTCTTCAAAATGATTCAAGCTTTTTCGTATGAGTTAGCATCGGACATTAATCGTTGTTTCTTTGTTGCGAACTATAGCAACAACAAAAAACTCACCTGTAAAAAATCTAGCATAGTCAAAGCGATGTGCTGTAATCTGTCGCCATTATTTTACACTCCGCGAACATCAGATAACAGAGAGAAATCATATTAGTCAAAAGTTTGTCGATAACCACGATAAATCTGCTTGATTATGGCACGACTTCCATATGTGCTCGGGTAAATTTTTCAATAAAACAATTAGACTGTATACATTGACTAAGTAGAAGTTGATTAATAATCTTCCAAGAAATTCCCGTCGTATTTTACATAAGAAAATCAACAGAGGTTTTGTAGTCAATTTTTTATTCCCACATGTCTGATTTTTTGAACTAACGGTACGTTATTCCCGATTATCCCGAAGGATGTTTTCATAGGAGCGACACCTTCTTGAGATAGAATAACTTGAGCGACAAATATAACGCGCCGCTTTGTTTGCTGGAGCGCTCTTTCGCTGCTTCAGGATTGCAGAAAAAAGTTTTCGACTCACCAAAATTTTGCCGGCATTCCGGTGGACAAAAAGCCTCCAACTGATCCCTGAAGTCACTCGGACAAGAATCGAACAGGTAAGGTTACTCAACTATTTTAAGTACGTTTCACCGGTTAAAGAGTAAAAACCGCTTCCCGAGTCGACGGGCGTGCAGGTAGTTTACTTGTAGTGGGTTTTATAGGTGGTTCTTTAAGCGATGCATCAATTGCGAAACCCTCGAGTCCGTCACACGAATATTCCAGGCTGTCTCGATTCTTCTGATAAATTCCATTTGGCTCAGCGAAAAAACACCTCGAAGCACGTCTCCGAATCGTGTCCATATTTTGACAAACGATAAATTTGTCTGATCAGCGAAAAACTCTGCCAAAATTTGCTTATCCGATGCTGATACAGATCCACGGCGATTCTTGAGCTTGGCTTGAATTTCGGGTACCTCCGAGAGTCGCCAGGAATTTTCTTCCGTGATAATGTACCGATGTCCATGTTTTGGATCGAATGGCTCATAAAATTCCGAACATACTGACACAGAGGCATCATCTTCATAAACATAAACTCGTAGTGGTTCGATAGAAATAACTGCCACAAAAACCCCTATTTGGAAGAGTCTTCCGTGAAAAAGCAACGGGTTTTGGAGGAATTCTTGCACGACCCCGGTTGAATTCTGAAAATGAAAATGTTAAATTCTAATAATTATCAAAAACATTACTGGAACCTGATTTAGTGTAGGCATTGAAATAATATGCACGTAATTAAATCTCCAAATCAGCAATGAAAGGTGATTGTTCTGAATTTCTGATGGACAATGTGCCGAAATGAGGAGCATGAAATTTAAAAATGAAAAATACACCAGTAATATTTCTTCAAGTTCATCTTTACTCGAACTCCAGGCTCAGACAGGGTTGAAAAAAAATTTAAGAAGCCGATGATATTTCTTGAAAATGCATTCGATTGTTGCATATTTCTATTTTACTTGGTAAGAATCTTTGATCCACAGATCAGTTTTTGTTTTATTTTTGATTACCCATCCCGGAGATTCCAATTTGGTTGAACGAAGTGAAATTTGCGTGTAATGAGTTGAATCTTTGCCAAATCTTCGAAAAATGTGTAAATACATCGTTCGAAACGATAAACGAAGGATAGCTATGCATGTAAGAGATTTTATCCAAATATCACATGAAAATATGCATTGAAATTTTCAGAGATTATGTTGAACAGCAGTCAAGTGTTGCCAAATGACGGTGGTTATGCGATTACAAAAATGCTTTAAATTGATGAAACTCCGTTGGACCTATTTGAAAAAGTCTCAATAACCTCATGAACCAACCCTCGTATATTTAGGCTGACTTTTGTTGCAAAGATCAGCAACAAACAATTATTGATTACTTGTTTTATTCGTCATAAGCAATTTTCCTCTATATTTTGCATCCCCGAACTCGAAACATTTTTTTCGCCAGGCTGGTGATTTATTAATTTTTTGGCAGGAGAACATGACAAGGCAAACTGCAATGTTCCACCTAATCGATTGTTACACGTTTTGCTGCCTGATGGCAGAAAGAATGCGTTAAATGCACCAATAATAAGATTCGTATCTGAAACCTTGTTGTTACACATATATGAGGGTCTTGACAAAAGTTTGTGCAATCATGCAAAAGATGTCATACAATTGAGCTGAAAAAAATTATTCTTTAGGGAAAACATTTTCTTTGGCCCCAAAAAGAACAGTCCTGTTTGACAATTTGTTCCAATGTTTTTCAAAATTCCCTTTAATATATGACACTGTAGCTATTTTGACAAATGCATGGCACTTTAGTAAAAAAGTCATCCCATTTTCAAAAGTGTCTAAGTGGTGTAACTCCTGCAGCATAAATACATTAGTTTGTGCATCACTAAAGCACCTTCTCTTCTTATGTCCAGCATTTCATACTGATAGAAACAAGCTTAAGAAAGATTTACAAGTATTGGAATTCAATGAAGAGACCCTTTCAGAAATCTTAAAGGATCAAGAAAAACTGTTGGCCTTAAATGATTTCTCATCAAAGATTCTCTCTCATTTTTTCATTCAACTGAACCTCATATAGTGAAACAAGCTGAAAACCGGGTGCTTTAAATTAATTTTTACATATATTTTGTTTCCAATGTCAGGGAATGAATGGGTGTATGCATACATGTCAGATGTCCATCAGTTGTTTTTCATGGATTATATTTTCTTTAATTTTTATTTCCAATTTGTGCTCTGTTTCCTGCTCTGAAGTGATTAAACGTCATTGAGTGGATTTGGGTTGAGTGGGAAGGGGTTTTGGTTGTGGAAATCTTGATTGATCCTTGTGAATGCTGAAAAGTGGCAAATAAAGTGTTCTGTTCATTCATTCAAAATTCACACCAGCAGAATTTTGCCCTCCACTGAAAAGATGAGGCACCCTTCCTGCAGATTTTTGTTGTTGTAGCCCAGCTTATTCCTCTCAGAATTCTTAAAATCAACTTGGCATTCTCGCTAGAAGGGTTGCCTCCAGATCTTCCAAGGCAATTCCGCAATTTTTCATTTCAAGAATTCTGAGGGGAATGCTGCGCTACAAAAAAAATAAAAATCTGTAGGAAGGGCGCCTCATTTTTTGTGTGGAGAGAAAAACTCTGCTGGGGTGAATTCTGAAGAACATTGAAACAAAGATTCTTGGTAATTTGTTCATTCAACTAAACCTCATACAGAAGCAAGCTGAAGATCTTGGGCTTTAAATTAATTTTTACATACATTTTGTTACCAATGTCAGGGAATGAATTGGTGTATGCATACATGTCAGATGTCCAGGTATATTTTCATGTTGTATTGTATTTTCTTTTATTTTTTGTCAATTTGTGCTTTCCTGCTCTGAAGTGATTAAAATGTCATTGAGTGAATTTGGGTTGGGTGGGAAGGGGGTTTGGTTGTGCAAATCTTGATTGAACCTTGTGAATGCTGAAAAGCGGCAAATAAAGTGTTCTGTTCATTCATTCATTCATAAATGTTGAGTATAGTATGAAACGTTTCCTCTTTGCAAAGTTAGTCAAATGCGCAGATAGGGGGATATTTTTTGGTGTGAGATCCAATTTCATTCTACATTTCTTCATTTGTCCTAAAAATCAAAGCAAGTTCATTCAATTTTCAATGATTGTCATCCAGAAAGCAGCACATACTGCAGGTGGCCTCTATATATGCACTGAAATTCAAGGGACCACATAAGAAAATCGGTTGTAAAGAAAATCTTGTTGTAGAGAATCTCCATAACATGGGAAAACACCTGGGCCCAAAAAATTTTGGTTTACAGATAAAATCTTTGTATTAAACGTGACAGAAAGAGTCCTCCTGTAATTCAAAAATCTTATTCGGGCCGGCGTGGACTTGATAAAATAGCAAATGATTATTTCAATCCCTTCAACAAAAAAATCATTGTTAAAGTCAATCCATTTTCGAGCACACAGGGATTCTAGACGAGTTCAAAACTTCCAAAAACTTGAAAAAATCTGCGCAGCTTAAAAAAAACGGATGCTTCGCGATGAAGCACAATTTTTTTTTTTTTGCAAGCTACGAAGATTGGGACTAGTTTCCAAAATCTTCCTCCAGAAGACATAAGCTGCTTATATCCGTTTCATAAACGACTTTGCTATCCCATATCATCCAAACCTGTCTGGAAGAAACGCTGAGAAGTTGACGGGGAAATTCCGGTCGATGAAATCCCAAGCAGTTTTAGATTCACTGCCGTAGTCGAAGTACAACTTGATGATATCATCTTCGACTTCTCCCTGTTGTACACCGGAAGTCAAAACAAGTCCAACAGCCACTGAAACTGCTATGTACGTCTTGGGATTTGCTCCGATGCTTCTTCCGAGTTGACGCAATACCTTGCTCAAGTAGAACGACGGATGTTGCATATCGCTTTTCGCGTTTTCAATAAAATCGTCGAACGTGAACAAAAATTTGCACTTCTCGGCCAACTCATGGAATGAAAAAATTCCCGCGAAGAAGAAATAAACTTATTCGAAAGCTCTGTACAACATTTTCATTCTGGTTATTAGTTTACACACGCGGATATAAACTTTCTCCTGCTCCTGAAACAGTGAGCATTCTCACATGATTGAAAATCTTCAAAAAGTGTATCACTTTTATGGGAACTCGGATTATTCCGACGAAACACAGTTAACCCGTTTCCCGATTGTATAATCAAATTTCATGCACAATTGAACACTCAGAAAAATTGGAAAAAAATTGTATCAATGACCTGATCGAATCGATAATATTGCAATCTTGAACAACAATTATTCGCTTATGCATCGGATATTAAGCTGAAATAATGTAAGGTATGCAGATTAGTTTGCTTCTTGAAAATACAGCAGTAGATTCTCGTTACAACGAATCTTCAAATCACGAATGATTGCACAGACAACGAATTCGTTTTAAATGTTCCTGTCCGATCGGCAATATGTTTTTAAAAATTATTTTAAAACAAAGCTTTAATGAAGTATTTTCCAGGTCCCATACAGGAGCTTCGTTTCAACAAAATTTCATTGCATGTCAAAGTATTAGCAACATAAATCGGATAATCATAAACATAATCGTTTAATCGGAGCACACGTCATCTACCTTCTGCAAATAGAAAAGAAAAAATGTATGCGACCGTCGCAGATCTGAATTCGAGCAAAATTTAAGTCCGTGTTATTATTATTTTTTTCACTGTCACTGAAATCGAAAGCAATTCCGTCGACCGAGGAAAAAGAAGAAAATCCACGTCAGTGAATCTCGCAACTGACCGAAAAAGATCTTATTTGCTGGGGCGAGTAGACAAACTGTGTTTCGTCGCATGAAGGACACCCGAGGAGAGGAAGAATGGAAATTCTTTTACATGGATAGAGATGGAGGAAAATCGTTGGTCGGGGGCCATTTTTTTTCTGCAAACTCATAGTTCTTTCTTTCCGTGGTCTTGCTCTGAATCTGAATCACCACGGACACAACGATTTCCATGTTTTCCGCCTGGACAAATGCAGCGAGGGACACTACCACAAGTTCAGATCTTTTACAGGTTCTGCTGATAATTAAAAAAAAAAACTTATGTAAGCAGTAATGCATTGACCAGGCGAGACTTCAAAATTGTGGATCAGGTAAGATTGTGGAAACATTTTTAACTGAGAAAAACCAAAGCCTTTAGATTGGGAAAAGTAACTTTTTTCTTTTATACGCTGGAAATTTTGGCTAAAAAAATCCTCAGTATTGGGTGACGTTTCTCTGGATTCTTGGATTAGAATTGAACGTTTTAAAATGTAATAAAATTTACTCCTGGCAAATTTATTCGTAAATGCAACGAGGGACAGTTCCGCAAGTTTATGTCTTACTGCTGCTGACAGTAGAATCAAGCAATACGTATGCCATCATCAGCGCATCGATCAATAAGACAAGCAGATGACATATTTTGAAATTATCTTTGGATAAAATTGAATAGATTTAGGAGGTTTCAAAACCCTCTACATTTCGTCTTAATCTAAATTCGACGAATCTGAAAGATTTTCTTGACGATTGGAAAGAACCACGAGTATTCGCAAAAAGGTTATTTTATTGCTCTCGTCCGAATTTCCTTGGGTGATATCACAATTGACGATTGCAGTGCAATCAAGCAGGACTCGTTGTCATCGAGATGAAGATGTTGGATATTATTAATTTAATCGGAAAAACATATACGATCATATTCTAACTTTTTGTATGGAAAAGGGAGAAAAGAAACAGAAGAGAGGTTTGTGATTGCCCCATGAAAAAATGGTTGCAAGGCCATCGTGACCGTCATATTATATTGAATTTCTTATGAAAGTTCATCAGATTACTTGAACTGCTCGGAGTTTACTAGCATTGCATCGCTAAGTGAGAAAGGAATTTTAGCATCTTCTTCTGCAGGTTTGAAATTTGTAACATCTTCAAAATGATTCTATACGCAATAATTTCGTTGAATGATTTGGTAGCATGATGGACATATGCTGTGCTTTTATTTCTCCAATACGAATTTGGGTGAAAGTACGCATATTTTTCTCATTCAATCTCTTATGTCAATCTGATTGAATCCATCTTCATCAGGATATTCATATCCAAAAACTCTCTTGGTGACATTTTTTCTGGATTCCTGTTGCTGGATCAACATTGAATGTTTGTAAATGCAATAATATTATTTACTCCTTCGAAATTGCCCCTGCTAGGCCCTGACTTAGTTCTGCTCAACTCAGGCCGCATTTTGGTGATCTAATGTGAAATGAAACTATCAAAATTTGGTTCTGGGATGAAAACACATCTGTTTTGTTGCGATGTCAGTATGTTGGGCATCGACCTGCTGAGTGAGCCCTAAAAATTTGAAAATAAAGCCAGAAGGTGGAAGATTTAACTTTATACGGGAAAAAAGACAGAAAGGATAACTGATGTGACCTGGGTGATATGAGCTATAGGAAAACATTGTTCCATGTTTACTTCACCGCCATAAAAAAAGTTTAGGCGGATTTCCGCAAATTTGTTGAAAATTCATTCCAGTTCATGTGTGCAACTCTTGGTGACAGACGCGGACGGAAAAGAACACGGTGAAAAACGGTTGATTCAATATCATGTTCCATCTGAATTTTTTTTTGGAATTTAATGGAATGATGACCCTTGGTCAACCAAATAGTATACGGTTATTCATTAAATACCTCGGTAGCATAAGTAGACGTTCTCAACTCGGTGTTGTAAGACTTGTAAAAACCGATACGGGGGCAAGATGAACAATTTTCCGCTGTGTCATGGATGTATCCTAAAAATATTTCAAGAAATCATGAAAATGCGAAAAGAATTCCAAAGCATCTGAAACGGGAAACAATAAACAGTTATACGTATCTGAGACTCAGATCTCTCATTTAAATGTGAATTTATTTTGAAAATGTCTGAAGGTACTTCAAACCCAAGAAAAGGCTTTTGACAGCTCCTCAAGCTGCTGATGTTCGAAATTTTTGCTTTGAATGTTAAATCATCGGTTATTTTCCATTGTGCTGTTATTTTTTCCAGTACTTTTCATGCATGTATGTTTTTCAATATTGCGTTGTATAAGTGCTGTTGTATTCAATCACCTATGCTTTCATGGAAAACTTTTCCATGTTCGTTTTGCAAATTTGAAACTTAGGACTTGAAGTATGGTGGAAAAATAAAAAATAATAATAATACTAATAAATTAAAATAAAAAAATGTTCTTTCTATTTTATGACTTCTGAATTTTGAAGAAACAATCAGAAATAAACGACGCACAGGCTTAGTGTTTTTTCCAGCGGAGGAAGAAACAAATTCAGTGTATGTGTTTTTTCAGTAGCTGGGATAAACCCATGGAGTAATGGAGCTTCCGCGCGCATCGCTAGCTGAAAAATACTCATTCTGTAAATTATATTTTTCAGGTTACACTCAAATTGGTTATTTTCAGTCTAGCTTTGTTTTGAAAATAAAAATCAGAAAAACAATCTCAAATCCTGCAGTAATAAGGCGAATGTCCACAGAATCAGTCTGGCATGTCGATGTTGTGGTCATGAATGTAAATGACAGATGTACACGTGGAAACATTTCGTTCCCGGTCATAAGGATTATCCACATAGACTGGCTTAACAAAACGCAATATCCTAAACGAATCCAGTACTGAATTTATCTGCAATAAACATCTCTTACCAGCACATATTCGTAGATCATGAAGAAGAAATTCCTTCTTGAAGGAATTTGTTGTCAGTCTATTGGAATGTACCCAAAGTTTGGGAAGATTCCCAGCCAGAACTTTTGTTGCTTCCCTTACTGGTAAATCTGGTAAATACTTGGTTGAAACTAAGTATTAAACATATCAATGCCTCTTGTACTGTGCCCCGAGACGCCAGAAGAATGTTCCCCCTTTCAGTCTCCTTCATTAGCATTTCCAATGAGCCTTGCAACCCAGCAACGTTGTTGCCGACCGCCGGAGGCCGGACCCCCGCATAATCATGTCCTATTTCCTGCTGCAACCACATTCCGTGTGGAGTTGATAAAAGCTGTGTTTTTGGTCATCGCAAGTTCAGTGTTTTTAGAAACCTCGTCCTGAAGTACGAGTACGTTTGCTAGCGAATGAATATCTCTAGAAAGAGACAACGGACTCTGAGATTATTTCTGAAAGAAGGAGAATTGAACTTTTTATCAAAAGTTCAACCCAGACATAAAGGAGAGTAAAAAGTAAAGATAACAGTTGCCGGTTGGAAAAGAAGGTAAGACATAAAAGGCGATAGGACATACTATCAAATTTTTATATTTTCTTGAAAACCAGACAACATAAAGTGGCGCAACCGGTACTTCTTTTTGCGCCGGGTGAAGTTGGTGCAGGTAGTGCACAAGAATAATCTCCCTAAAAAATCCAGAGATCCTGAAGTGCGAAAAGAAAAAGAAAAGAAAGAAAGTGAATTCAAAAGATTAAGAACTGAAATTCCGCTACGCAAAAGCGAAGAGAGTGGGAAACTCTGAAATTCCGCTACGCAAAAGCGAAGAGAGTCAGGAACTCTACACATTCCGCTACGCAAAAGCGAAGAGAGTTGAAAGAAAAACTCTAAAGGAGCAACTAAAGAGAGTTGACTCCGGGTAACTGCCTATCGAGGAGTTAACCCTGGTGACTGCCTAAAAAAGGAGTCAACCAAAACGTCTTCCAAGGAAAAGGAGACGTGGGAATCAAAAGGATTTCAGGTATTTTTACAAAAAACTTACAAAAAATAGAAAAATATAAAACATCCATCTTATACGAAACGAGTAAGAGAAACGTTGAGTGTGAAGTGTGCAATTGTGAATACTGGTGAAAAAATTAATTAAATATTTTTGTACATTAATTCCAATTTATGTCAGAACCGTTGCCTAACTCTAAACCTTCCACTTCAATAGAGAAAGCTAAACAGTTTAATAAAGAAATTACTGAAAGAACTTTTGCTCTAGTATACGGTGAATCCCCAGAAGCAAAAATCTTCAAAGCATTTGTGCAAAATCATAAATTACAAGTTGTATTACCTCTAAAGAGAACCAAAGACTTTGAAACTTCAGAGGAGACGCAGAAACGTCACGAGGACGATCCTCTGAATTTAAAAAGTGACTAACCACTAACCCCAAAGCATAAAAAACTCAGGACAATCAGATATTATACTTTGCGTATAATATCTGAGCGACCTTCTTCTTAACACATTATTTCAGATTCAATCTAGTTAATTTAAAAAACTTATAATGGCTACTGGAAAAATTCCTGAAAATGGACAATTCGAAGAAACGAACTTAGATGACACTATAATTACCCCATCTACTAGTACCCAACTAAATAATGCTAAGGTACCCATTACAGGATCCTCCATGTCTAGAATTGTGTCCGACTCTCTTGATCATAATCGAATGCCTCCCAAATTCCTCCAGCTTGCCCCAATAGATCAGATTAATTTCCTCCAAAGATCTATTATTGAGAGAAAAAATAAGATCGCTAAATTACAAAAAGAACTAGAGAAATCGGGACCTCCAAGAACGGAGATGATTAACACTCAGATACTACAATTAGAATCTACTATCAGCGATTTGGAAAAGCTTGAAAAAGATACGGCCATTAGTTTAAAGAAAATAACGGATGCTCAGAAAGAATTAAATGACCAGAACAATGCCCTTCTGGCACGATTTATTGAAGACCAAGCTATAGAACGTACAATAAATATCGCCAAAGCTTCTGAATTAAAGAAAGCAGTGATGTCTAATACCTTGCTAGGAACTCTAGACACTCCGACACCTGAAGAAATGGTAGTCTGGAATCAATCCCAAGGTCAAAGCGTGCTTCCTCCAAACACTCAGACGGCAAATGCATTTATTAATAATTTACCCATATTTACTGGAGAATGCAATAGTATTGCCTGGAGCACCTGGTATTCCAGATTTTTAGCCCTGCTACAAGCCAATCCTATGAACGATCAACAAATAAGACATTTGATCTTATCAAAAGTGGCAGCAAAGGCTTACAATCTAATTGATGTGGAAACTGGACTAAAATTCCAACCATACCAAGTTATAATCAGGCACCTACAAAAATATTTCGAACCGAAAAATTTGGCAGACGGAATTACCACGCTAGACCAAATTAAGCAAGGGGTGAATGAGAAAGTTCAAGACTTTTCTCTGAAATTGAATTTGGCATCCAGTAGATTAAATGCTGATCATATCCCCAAAGTTAAAGTCTTAAGACAAGACGGTATAAAAACTTTCGTTGCTAATCCTACGTATGAGCAAGAGATTATTAATGCTCAGTGTAGGAATAACTTCTTGTCAGAGATTAAACTTAATAAATTCATTACGGGATTGCAACCGCACATCCAAGAAAGGATGAATGAAATTCCTGACAATTATGAAGCTGCAGTAGAATCAGCCATTAAAATTGAAAGAATGTTGATTGCCACTGGCCGTTTGACTTACTCCTGCGAAACGTATCAGTTAAATATTAAGAGAGGAAATAATCGTACTATGAATAACTTCAATAAGCCTACAAATACGGTACGATTAAATAATGAACCTTGCTACGGATGCGGTTTAAATGGGCATTACATTGCAGAATGTCCCCATAAAAAACCTTGGACCAATCCGTCAACCAATTATCCAACCCAATACAACGCTCAGCATTACACCAATTATTCCCAGAGACCCCCTGTGAGACGGTCCGGAAGACCTATGATGCGAAGAGGAACTACTCATTCGCCTAGAGTTGCAAATAATACAACCATGAACCCAAGACGATCGTTTAATACTAGAACCCAACGTCCTCCTATCCCGACTCAAAGATCTACTATGCATGCAAGAGGAAATAATAGAGAAAGAATTATTAGGGGAAGACCAGGACCAAGTCGTCGTCCCCAAGGAAATAGAAGGGTTTATAATAACAATATGTTAGAAGAATATCAAACATATAATGAAAACTATGATGAAAACGAAGAAGTATATAACCAAAATGAGGAGCCCTTAATACAATTTGAAGATGATGTAGAAGAATTGTCAGAAGAGTTTGGTTACTTAGAAACAAACGAGGAGAATTCTGAAACATATGACCCATATTATGAGAATTCCCAAATTATAGAGGATCCACGTTACTCTGAAAATGATTACTATAACGAATATGAGTGTAACAATGTGAATCTTTCGGGAAACGATTATTAACTGGAAACGCTTCTCTTTTGCGTCTCCCAGTTGTGACGATATCAATAAAGAAAGAGGATCCTCCATTGCGTTTTTTAATTGATACTGGATCTGAAATATCGATCCTGGACTCACAATACAATTCTGACCCTGTGTACCCCAGTAATGTTATCATCAATACTCTTAAAGGCAACAGCATCCCTGTAATGGGATCCACTGAGAAACTTCTGTATAACAATGATCAATTCGTAAGTAATATCTCTTTCTTTTTAATCAACCAGCCCTGTACCCCCAATTTTGTAGGAATATTGGGAACCAATTGGTTAAGAGATAATGCTGCTAAAATATGCTACAAGAAAAAGGAACTAGTTATCAATCAGCAAAGGATCCCTTTTGAACTGAAAGACTCATCGACAAACAACGTTAGATACGTGCAAAATAAGGATCCAGAATTTAAATTGTACCCTGTATTTCGACAAAAGATTGAACCTTATGCCCAACAAATTATCCAATTAAAGTTATCTAAGGAAAACTCTAGACAATTAAAAGGAAAAGATATCCTTATTAACCCGCTAATAAATTCTAATGGTAATTTAATAATTGGACGTTCCTT